ACATCTTGCCACCAAACTACCACACCTTCTCGCCCCTCTACAACAAATTTTTATTTTAATAAAAAAATAAAATAAAAAAATAAAATAAATCCTAAATTTTTTTTTTGATGTCAAATTTTTGATTTCAAATTTCAACTTTATCATTCTATTTGGCTTTACATTTTAAAGTACATTTTATTCAACCTTTTCTACTTCAACTTGTATTTTTGTTCACAGATTTATTTATAATGAGTACTTTAACATCCTCAACTACTTCTATTATGTTTCCAACTATCACCACTATACTCCAATATTTTCAAGTTGTTCTATTTCTACCATTGGCTATTGATAGAAATTATTATCTATTATGGGTAAAAATGGAAAAAGCAAATTTATTTGCAAAATAACTATTAGATGCAATTTTGTTTGAAGTATCTCATACTATAAGAACTTCAATTTTTATTGCTATTTATTGGAAAGTACTTCTTCTCCTTTATTAATATCTTGTATCCACATTATAACATCAATGTTTAGAAATGAAAGATCTAGCCAAGCTCTAGGAGAATCTTAAATCCAAGTTTGATCATCAAAAGACCATTTTCCTTCCATTTGCACATCATATTTGGACACATTTACATATCTTGGATTTTTAAATTTAAATAATTTTAATAGTAAAATATATTGTATTGTCTCACAACTACAGTTATGTGGTCAAAACATGTTTGAAGAAGAAATGATTGAAAAAATTCTCTCTACATTTCTTCTTTCATCTGCTATGTTTGTACAACAATATAGGAATATGAAATTTCAAAGTCATCATGATCTCATGTCCTATCTACTTTTTGTGGAGAAAAAAAATGAGCTATTCTTGTATAATACAGAAGATCATCCTATTAGAACCACGATTCCAAAATCTCATACACTTAATATTCCAAAGTCTAAAAAATAATTATACAAACATGAAAAAAATACTCATAAGTACCAGATCAATCATAGTCATGACCATTTTTATCCATATAAAAAGAATAGATTTTCTACAATTAATTATAATAAAAAAAAAATCAAAGATGCATTCTTGCCATAAATGTGTAATGATTGGATATTTGGCACATGTGTACCATACTTCAAAATACATTGTTAAAATATTCCAAAAAAATAAGAAACTTCAAGCTGAGGCTTGTGAAGTTCATACCAAGGATACATCCATGGATTAAATTGGTGTGATCTAATGATGACAAAACTTCTAATGATGAATCAAATAATGCACTCATTGATTCTACAACAATACATACTAACATATAGGATAGATGGTTTTTTATTGAAAAATCTTCAACTTGGCAAATTAGAAATTTGATGACTATAGCTAGAACAAATCTATTTTGTTTCTAAGGGAACAACAATGGTAAAATTGCTTGTGAGTTCTATCACAAAATGTAAACATATAATATTTACATCCTCAATACATCAAAGTTTGATCAGCTACTGAAATATGTGTGCCAATGGTTATCACCTCTCAACTGCAATTCTAGATAACTTGGAGGTTTTGGTTCTTAGACAGAACCATAAAGTTGTAGAAAAAGCCTTTGCTGTAAAAAATTGTTTATATTGGATTGCAATCCAGCCTCCTATTATATTTAATTTTCCATCATCTATAATAGGAAGTCTTATTTTTCTTTGGTATAGATGATTGGAACATCAAGGATCTATATTATTTTAGAAAATAATTCCATATATAATTGGCCATAATTTAAGACCTACAAATGTAATTTCTATAGAATTATGTCGTGCATGTGTGCAAGACAAGATTATTGCTCGGTCTTCAATTTAAAAACTCTGACAAGAATTACCACCAATGCTTGAAAAGTTGTATGATAATATTTGTAGTCCTATTAATACAATATCTGAACTATTTTGTTATTTATTTGTCTTTGTTGATGCATCAAGCAAAAAATCACATATTTTATTATTATCATCTCAAAACATGATATTTACTAATCTTATATCTATGCTTATTCATTTTTTTAGCACATTATGCTAATTATCCTATCAAAACATTGTGTATGGATAATACAAATGAATTTGCATCAAAGTCCTTTAAAGACTATTATACTGCAAGAAAGATTGAGTTTATATATTGTATTTCTTATGAACATGCTCAAAATAGACTTGCAGAGTCATTTATAAAGCGTATACAAGTCATTACCTGGCTACTCCCTTTTCATGCAAATTTACTTACATCTATGTGGAGTCATGTAATTTTCCATGTTGCAGCATTAATATGCCTTTATTCTTCTTCTCTTGAGATTATTACACGATAAGAGTTGATTTCAAGTTGTATTCCAAATGTATCTCAACTATGGATGTTTGGTTGCTGTACTTGGATTCCAATACTAAAACCTCAATAACATACAATTGGAGCTCATTGATAAGAAGACATACATGTTGGTTTTGATTCACCAAGCATTATTTATATAGTTGATCCATTAATTGGTATATTTTTAAGTGCTCGTTTTCAAAATTGTTGTTTAGAAAAGAATGTATTTCTATGTCTTCGATGAGGAGTATTTAATCAATAAAAAAATACATTACTTGTATTTGGAGTACCAAAAACATTTACAATGAATTCTAATCCTAGAACATCTTTGGATACAAGTGAAGTTGCCAAGTTTTTGTATCTAAAAAGATTGCAAACAAAACACTTGATGGCTTCAATGATGCGCCTCAGATTACAAGAGTTTCAATTAATGAGGCTTAGAATGAACTCACTCAAATTATAATACCACTAACAAATATACTTTAGATTAAAACATCAGCAATTAAAATGACTCGTGGACCAGATAAGTAATTATGAAAGAAGAAAGCTATAACATGTGGTGATTTTGGTATTGTTTCTGTAGAAGTTCCTATTAAACTTACAGGACCATCAATTAATGATAATATGTCCATATACATTATACCTTCACCTCATACAATAGAAAATCTTGAAATTAGAAGAAATAAAACCAAGTTGAGTATAAAATTATCTGTTTTATATTATGCTACAAATGACCTTTGGAATAGACCATATATTATAATAGATGAATCATTTGCATTCATGATGGCAGAAGTTCTTTCTTATAAGAAAGAGGATCCTGAACCTCAAACCATTTAAGAAGCGATGCGTTGCTCTAACTGGTTAACATGGAAAACTCCCATCGAGGAGTATCTTTCAAATGTACTTGCTCTAAGATGATATCGTGGTATTAAATTATACAAGGCCTTATATATTCTAAAGCAATCTGGATGCATGTGGTATCAATGTCTCCAAGATTATTTAATTATAAATAAATTTGTAAGTAATCCACTAATCTCTTTTTTATTTATTAAATAAAATAAAAATAGTTTTGTGATGTTTGATGTATATGTTGATGATTTTAACCTAGTGGGTACTAGATCTGCATGTGTTGTAGCTATTAACCTACTTATAAATGAATTTGAGATGAAAATGCTAGAAAAAACAACTTTTTACATTGGTCTTCAAATTATGCATCTCATAGATAGTAATATTTTTCTCTATCAACTAACGTACATTAGACAAATCTTACAAAGATTCAATATGATTGATGTTTATCCATTATCCACACCAATGGTTGGGCATGGTCATGATGGTCATGATCTATACAATCTGTATGAAGAGGAAGAAAAAATATTAAAAAAATAATATCTATACCTCATAGCGATTGGAGTTTTCTATATTTAGCCACATCTATTAGATCAGATATTGCATTTGCACTTGATGTTCTTACAAGACACGGTGCACACCCAATACTATGATATTGGAATGGTGTCAAACATTTACTATGTCATTTAAAAGGTACTGAAGATTTGGGATTGTACTACACATGATCTGCAAATCCAAAATTCGTTGAGTATCTTAATGCAAGATAGAAATCTAATATTGCAATAGCTAAATCTCAAATAGGCTATATATTCTTAAGACATAGAGCTACAATATTATGGAAATCAATGAAGCAAACTATAATTGCAACTTCTTCCAACCATGCAAAAATTATTACCTTACATGAAGCATCTTGGGAATATAATTTATTGTGATCAATCGATAAATTCATTTTAACAACGTGTAGATTTTCATATGATGATTCTCCAACTATCTTGTATGAAAATAATAGCACTTGTGTTGTACAAATACAAATTAGTTTCATTAAAGGGAAAAAGACAAAGTATATTGATCCAAAGTATTTTTGTTATATCCATGACTTGATTACTAATCAAGTACTTAAGATCAAGAAAATTGAATCTGCAAGTAACCTTGCTAATCTCTTTACCAAAGCTCTCCCTTCGTGCAACCATTGCCAACTTACTTGTGACATTGGTGTGCAATGACTTGCTTTTCTAAAGCAAAAAAATTAATGAACACTTAAGATAATGTAATTGTTGATCTTATGAGATTACAAAAAAGTATAGATCATAATTCTATGTATGTAAATATTATGACGAGCGAAGAGTGTTGAGAGCATTAAATGTATCTGATGCTCTCCATGCTATTTATTGTAATCTATAGTATTTATTGTAGCTATAGTGTTTGGAACATAATAGAAAGATATAACCCTTCTCCCCTTCTCAATTATGGGAAACGTACCTCAATTATATATATAATACACGTAACGTGTAATATCTTGGTTCGTAACAGCCCGCCATGTGACATCACAACGGGACCGAGAGTAAAATATATGACAAGCCTGCTAACCCCACTAATAAAATCATAGAAAATGAGCATTTAAACTACTTAGACCTACAAACGGAAGCCGGATCACGTACAATCCACGAGGAGTGTGTGAACAACCTGGTGGCGTGTCCTGGTACATACGGTGGCATTCAGCCACACGAGTCCTC